TGAGTAACATCTCCAAAAGATAATGGGCGACCATGTATGACTTCTACTTGAATATGTTTAGTTTTTCTTACTAAAGATATGTTAAGTCTTTTAGCAAATTCTTCATCTAAGAAATACAATGAGACTCCTGAATTTAATAAGGCACAGGCTTTGTAATGTATAGGTCCTAAAATAATATTTAATATAAAACAAGGAAAGGATTTTGATGAGAGAATAAGACCTTTATTAGGTATTGTACAAGATTCCAGCTCCATGGTCCCTATTATAGTTAGACAAACTTATTTTCTAATATAATGTCTTCTTTGACATTCATACTCCTTATTTTATAATTATGTCACTTCTTTGGATAATGTTGAGTAGTATGCTTAGGCTCTCTACAATATAAGTACAATCCTTTTTAATGGTGACAAGTCTTTTTTTGCTCAATAAGAGGTTTGAAACGTACTATATCAATTTGCATATCCTCTACTTTTGAATGTATGTGATAAGCAGGTGTTGGTATTGCCATTGAATTATAGTAACATTAATGCCCACTTGTTCGACTCTCAGATCAAAATTCAAAAAATCGATTGTCACACTTCACAACAAATTCAATTGTTTGACTCAATGTTTGAGGATTAAGTAAATTGAGCATCAATTTCTTTACTTCATATTATAATCTATAGAGAAATTGGCTAATAAATACAGCATCATTTCACTTGATATCACTTGCAAGTTGTCAAAATTATGAAGCATATAATGTTATGGATCAATTGCCTTTTTGTAAAATACAAATCTTCTTAGTTGCAACATGAGTCACATCATATTCTCCATACATGGATCAAAACTCTCCTAAAAAAAGCCTCTAAATTATTGAATATTAGATCTCGTAGTTCAAGAAAAGATGAAAATCACAATAATGTTGAACTTGAAAGAAATTCACTAATAAATCTAACTTGTGATCTTCAAGTTAGATAGCTTTAGAATTGAAGTTCAATCACAAGTTGTACTTGATTGATAAATCCTCAAAACTTAGATCTTATACCATCAAACTTCTCAAGCAACGCAACTCTTGGTTCTCTAGTACCAGAAGGATGTTCCATCCTACCAGAAGTGATATGATTGGATGTAGATGTTGAAGCAGCTCCAATCATATCTATATCATTACTTCCTGCTATTCTTATTGCTCTTTATGGTGATAAATTGAGTTAATGCATTACAAGCATTAACTCCCTCAATTCCTCTTGCATTTGTATTATTCCACTTTTCATTTCAATAAGCTTTGCCATAATAATACTTAGAAAATAAATATCTAATATTTCTCAAGACAAAGAAAAAAAAAGACTTGAAAATAAAGAAGATATTAAGAATAATATTAGTTTAGAAGAGGGTAATTTGTAACTTCTAATATGTTTATGTCTTATAAAAAAAATGTAATCCATTCTTAATCAAGAAAAGGCAAAGATCTAATATTATAAGTTTACTCTTGTCAATCTGTCAAAGACATGAACTAGAAGAAGATGTATAAATCTAAAAAATCTATGTTAAAAGAAAAGTGATAAAATAATAATAAAGTAGTATGTATATTAAAAAGAAATTAAAATGGCTATTGCCAAAAGATAAGAAAATTAGAGACTCTTAAATCTAGACTAAAGCAAGAAGAAAATTTACAAGAATAAAAAGAGCTTCATTCTTCTCTCTATATATACTATCTAAGTAAGAGCTACATAGCGATGTTCTATAGGACCTCTAATATGTGTTGACTTTGCACGACACATACCTTAACTTATAAGGTAAGTTTTTTATATATAGGCCATATAGTTAACTTGTTCTTCAAGCTATCAACATGTGTGGCACGTGGCTAACTTGTTGACCACGTTTTTAATCTAAAAAGTTAATTAAAGATACTTATAAAGTCAAAGTAATACCTATGAAGCTTCTAAGAAGCTTCTATAGAAGATATTAGAAAGTTAACCTACTTTTACTTATTTTTATCTAAATCATATATGTAATTATTAGTTTACATGTATATATCCGTGACAATAGTAGCTATTATTTAAACCACAAGGTCTGAATAGAATCTATAAGAAAATTATCAAGATTTTCTACAAGATCTACAAATCAATTAAGATTTTTTATAAGATTTTTTATAAGATTTATAAATCAATCAAGATAATTTCTTATAATTTTGTGGTTGATTTTTTTGATTTTTAATAACCAAAGTATAATTAAATCATTAGTTTTTATGCATTTGAATATCTTAATAAAATTCAGTCTAAAGTCTTCTTAGGTGGCTTCAAGTTGCCTTTGTGTAAATGTTAGATATCATGTTACACTTCCTTCTTATAATTTTGTCTCAAATTTTTATTTTGATATTTTGAGAGATAAGACTCTGTTAATATTGGTCACAATTAGATAGACTTTGGTATGTTTATTGAGATCACTTGTATAATTAAAAATAACGTATTTGAGGTTGAAATATTACAAGTTTACTACTAGTATTGAGGTCAATATAGATACTACTAAGGTCTTAACAACTAACATAATAGGTGGACTTTCTATTAGAGTCTAATTATATTTTTTATTAAGTGGCTAAGTTTGTGGTGCTTGAACCTTAGATTGTAAGCTCATAACTACTTATGCAAGCTCTTTATAATATTGCAATATTTTTTTGCAAAGTTGTTCTCATACAATCTTCTATCATTATAGTATGTTTTTGTAACAAAATTTATAAATCTTTAGTCTTCTCAAAGATATTAATAGTGACAACTTTTCTTGAATTTTGGTTATATTCATTAGATTTGGAATATCTAGGGAGAGATCTTTTTTAACATTTTTTGCTTTGATTCTTCTATTTATCTTGCTTGTGGATCTTATATTCACTCTTCATTAACTCCCTTCAAAGTTTTGTCATGCAATGTTCTATAGTATGGTTGCCAAATATTACTCAAGTTTTAGAGTATACAAGCAAGCACAAGACATGATTATATAAAAACCATGACCAACAACACACACTAATTTGTAAATGAGCTAGTTTATTATCAAAGCTTGTATTACAATCTATCATCTTAATAATATCTACTCCATTGCAGAAATAAAGATTTTTTAAAATTATTATTTATTAGATTTTTTAAAAATAAATATATATTTTATAATTTATTTCCAAAGTCCAAAGAAAAACTCTTATTTCACTCCTTCTGGTCTTCAATGTTTACTTCTAAATCTTTGAATATTATTTTATTAATTTTTCTTAAACTATTTTTTTAATATCTTTATTAAAATTTTAAAAAATGATAAAATATTCTTTTTATTATTTTTAAGTATAATTTATTTTTAAATAAAATTTAAATTTTTAATTTTTTTATTTATTATTAATAATATATTTTTTTCAACATAATATCAAATATCATAATTTTTTAATGAAATTCCTATTAAATTTAATATTAAAATTTTATAAAATATCTTCTTCATTGAAATATAAGAAGGTAAGAGAAAATAGTATTTATTTTATTTTATCTATTAAACTTCTCAATAGTCTTTTTTTTCTTCCTTCATTATCTTTAAAATTTGAATTGTTTTAGTGATTAGAATCAATGACTATTCACTTATTTGCAAACTGCCAACTTCCAAAACCCTAAACTTTCTAACATCATCCCTACTTGGATGCCTTGCTATAAGGACAAAAGAAGTCTAGGATCTATAAATTGAAAATGAACAAATTTGAAATTACAGGGAGGCTAAAAGATGATCAAGCTAACTTACGCAATTTTTAGAAAAATCCTAATTGAGCAAACTGAAGGGTCTACCATTTCTCTGCCAGTCCTGTCAAGAGTTTAACCTGACGTCCCCCAATTGAATTAAACGCTAGTAACGGCCTTTTCACAATTGTGACACTCGTTAGAAGCAGTGACACTCCCAGACAGAATGACTGCCTTTGTGCTCCTTCAGAAGAACTATATGTCAAAGATTGACTTTCAGCATTGACTTCAAGTTCAGGGTACCTCCAAAGTTTGCAGGTTTCCCAATAGCACACCTCGATGCCGTCCAATCAAAAGCAGCACCAATCCTAACATTAGAAGGATCATTGACTTTCTGGGTTCTAACCGTTAACTCCTTTCCAGACAGCATGACGACTGAAAACTATCCGTTAAAACACCGACATTGAAGTCATGGATTGAAACCAGGTCGACTATTAAAGTGCAATGGAACCATGAGCCTGTTGGGACCATCATTTTACCCATATTTCCGTGATGACCTCTGCACGAAAACATATGCAGTAAAAACGACATTGCACCGACTGCAACAAGCTCGTCCCTCCGACACAAGAACAAGTTCTCACAGATCTTGTTGCTTATCTGTGCGCACAAACCGTATGGAATTGGTTCCAGGATCTGCACAAATGTGAATGTATCAATATGAAGGGCATTTCAGTGCTGACACGTACTGAAAACTTGAAACTAATTGTTTCCAAAGCGTAACCAGGTTTCTTAATAATGACCCACATACGTATCACTATCTTCAGAAACCAAATGCAATCGAAAGTCTGCGGGATGAACTCCCATCGTAGTGATGACCTCTTACAACAACTTGAACGTCGATGAGAGGATTAATGCTCGAATAATGGAAGGTTTCTAGAGTGGCCAAATTGAATGAACATGCTAAAAGTCTAGGTGCTTTTAGATTTTAGGAAGCCCGTGATGGAATGCGTTCCTTTGGAAGCTCGAAGTTTGCACATCGTCAAATGTACCCAAAAACCTCGAGAGTTGCCAATCATAACAACCACCATGTCCATCTCCCTCGTATCTTCAAAGTTGCATGTCTCAAGTGTCTCAAATAATGATAGCACCCGAGATAATCACAATGCCGCGGAAGCTAGGAGTGCCTGAAGCTTTCGCATGTGCATGTCAACAACCATGTCGGAGAACACCTGCAACAAATTTTGTACTAGAGATATTATGCAAAAACAAGACTTACTAAAACAAATGAAATCAATAAAATTTGTCGCAAGTTGGATCCTAACGTTGATGGTGAAAAGTGCTGTATCTCAGTGTACATTACGTAAGCAATAGTTATAGAAGCTTAAAAAAGATTTTATAACCTTGAGCGTCGAATCCTAGATTGCGTCTAAACTTTCAGTTTCAGTCATCCACAGCGAAGTACCAACACCAGTAAGAAAGCTGTGTATCGTGCATTTAGTAAGCCAATCCTTTTCAAAGATTGGAATATAAAGACTCCTAAAGGAGCAGTATCTAAATTAGCAATAACAAGAAAAATAATGATACTAACATACTCTAACTGGAGCAACCTGTTTTACAACTGAACTAATGACTCGGTTTCAAATAAGAGACGGAGACATCAACGCACTAAGCAGAGCATATGCTCCATCATTTCGACGGCCTTCGCACCTGGATGTAAACGCAACAAAATTTGATCAATTTGATGCACAAATCTTGAGCAAATATTTAGTCAGGACGATAATTGAGCAGATTGAACAGTATAATTGAAAAATTTAGTCAAACTATAGTGCTAACATGTACATGTGCGTGTGTGTGCGTCCTTCACAATGAGAAGCAGAGGTACATGTCATTCCGGTCATCAGATACAGCGTAATTAGAGAAACAGAACACCCACTCTGCGCAGATATTCACTATGAAGCTTCAAAGCTGATTTGCAAACCTCCTTAGGATCAACCTTCCCAGTTACATCATTCAGCAGCTGCACAAGCAGAAGTAGGAGAAGAAAAAAGGTCTGTCAATCAGGAGAAGGGTAAAGAAGTTCTGAATGACAGTCGGTGATTCCTTCTCAACAACGAGAATATTAACGAGTAGCGAAAACACGAATTTGTTCAAGTTGGGAGGCAAACATGAATTGAATTCTTTCACACTACCTTCAAAACTTCGTCTAATCCTCGAGTCTAGTTCAGTAGTCGATTACGCTGCATTTCGAATATAGCTATAGCGCAGAATAGAGATATGGGCCCATTTCCTCCAGGCATTGTAGCCGCTCCATATTTCTCATTTTGTGCCTCATATTTTCCTCTACCCTTGTACTTGCGCCGGAAAGACCAGCTTCTTGTGATGCTCTTTTCATGTATAGATGATGGTGCATACACCAAGGCCCACACCATCTGCAATGCGGAAAAACAATCAAATGCTAACTACACGCCACGGAAACTACGTAATATAAAGACTAACCGAGGGTACATAACACTGTTCAGACTTACCCTGCTTCCAATTTACATCAAAGACACGGCATATAATTTTGGAGCCAAGGTAGTGTATCCATCTCCCAAAGGTAAAGTGTGTCGACAAAAGAAAATTCTCGCCTAAAAAGCACCATGATCATGCGAAATGCAAAGATGTAATCTCCTCCTTTTATTGAGTCTACCACACAAAAACAGTTAAAAAAACCGGGTTAACACATGCAAGCTCTAACCTATTGATGGTAAAACCCTTCTAACTCGTCCTGCAAATAATAAGAAAACCACTCGCAACAACACCAATCACAGGACATCAACCTCTAAGAACGCATTGCTCAAACGTTTACTTTCGTCTAAATCCTGAAAACAGAACAATATTAAAATTCGATATTGGACACCGTAGTACAAACACGAAGACTTTCTCGAAGAATGCGTTGAAGCAATCTCAACAAGTTCTAGAAGTATACAGACATTAGGATAGGCAAGCATTGACAATACCTTCTTACCTAATCCAATGAAACAACGGAAAAGATGATTGTCTTACCTATATGCTCGTGAAGCTTCGGATCTAAAACCTTCAATAAAGTTGCTAGCACGGCCAATTGTTTCTCAACACCAACTTCTTTATCTGTACAACTGAAATTGTCGCGCTTTGTGCACAACATCACACGAATAAGTCGGATTCGAAGCTCACATGCACATAAACAGTCTAGTATTAAAATTAGCGATCTCGTCACAGGATGTTAGCAGAATAGTTCATAGCAAATTGTAGTTGAAAAAGCATATTTTGCTAGACATGAGGACAGAACTATACCAAACGGCTCATAATGCGCTCGAAACACCAGAATGCATCAGCCTCGTCTTGAAACATCAAAGCTAGAGGAGAACAGAAGTCACTCATGCCTGAATGACACCAACGAAAAAGTCATTATGATGGATGCGTACGTTTGGATAATTTTGGAAATGATCCCACGACCAAGGATAGAATTAAGAAAGCAAACAAACACTACCCCATAACCTGGTTAACTCCATGTACACAAGTTAACAGCGTCAAGTCATTGATCGAATGTCAGTGCTGTATGTCGTGTTTCTAGTAAAACGACAAAACGACCACATCTCACCTTGGCAGTAGCCGATAGCAGGATCGAGCCAACAATATACAGCTAGGATGTCCCAAAGCTTTGACATATGCTCTTGGCTTGCATAAAATTGCAGCATCCTGTCAGTGCGGACCACATCCAATCCTGGACACATGAGAAAGTTCTAATGCTTAGCTAACTATTACAGTGAAGATAAAACGAGGAATCCAGCACAATACAACAATGTAATTGGATTCCACAGTATGAACTGAAAATGAGAGGACAAAAGATGAGGTAAATTCAAAGATGGCATGTAAGGATTGTGATATCTGCAGAAACCAAGCGCAAATTGTTCAGCCCCATTGAGAGATGGATCTACGAACCAATCTGATGAAGATTCAATCTCCACTGAATTGTCTTCTTGCACTGCTTTTCATATGGGGCTATTGAAGTCTGCTGATAAGCCCCATTCATGTGTCCTGTACCAACAGCACAGCTTGATAATGCACGTCTTAAATTATAAATCAAAAACCCTGAAAGGTGGAGTAACATCTGCCCAAGAAACATATGACAAAGGTTCAAAACTGAAGAATTTAATATTTACCGTTTTGGTGGTGGCTAATCTCATTTCCACCCGATATTTCACCACCATTACATTCTTCCGCTAGACTACCATCTGCGTTTATACGTGGTGAAGTTGCAATTTGCCCACTGCCAATCAAGTTATCCATTAATTGACATTCTGATTTGAGTTTTGCATACTGCTCTCTGTGCATACAAGCATTCCACTTAGCCGTTGAAACTTTTGAAAAGAAACAGCACCATCTAAGAGTGCTCAGGCTACAGGCACTATAGCACTAGAAGATATCCATCCTAGAAACAGGGAAGAAGAAAATGAGAAAAAACTGAGACCTCTTTTCGTTCTACTCTGCAGAACCATGATGTAATTGTATAAAGCAAAGACAGTTCAATACCTACGAGACGCTCGAAGGGAATCTCGTTGTTGTGTCGTGCTGCTAGGACCAAAGCAACCCAATAGAAACTCCCAGACTTCTGCTCTAATTGATGGATCGACACCCTGGGCACAATGATAAATTGACAGATGATAAAAAGTTTAACCCTGTAGTCAAATAAGTGTCCCCATCCCTCAACTGAGAAAGGAAAAAACTGCAACAAGAGTTCTTAGCACTAAAAATTCGTAATGTTCCACGAGGTTTCGAAAAAATCCTCACCCCTCGTCGTATACGATTGAGAACATTGTCCAGTCTCAGTTGGCCATGCTCGTTAAAAGCTCGGTTCCATGTCCCAGGGCTTAGCGTCTTCCATGCATGCAACGAAATACTAAATTAAAAGAATCCCAAGTGATCTCGAACGTGACTCAAAATTCAAGTTCAATCGACGTCAATTCAGCGATTTACAATACGTGAGATATCAAAGGGAGGTAAAAAAAAAGAATGCATGAAAAACGATCTAGACCATAATATCCCTAGAAAGGATCAAAGTCGCAAGGAAAATGGAGATATGACAACCCAACATGAGTTACTCGATTTTAAACGAGGGAAACATGAAAGGGGAAAATTGATAACTCCCGCCGTAGAAATTGAAGAGCATCGAATATACTAAAAAAACGCAGTAATATCACTTTCAAAAGGGGAAAATTCTTGAAACACAACGGAATCATAAAGATTATAGAGAGAGAGAGAGATGTTGGGAGGGGGGCTCCGAAGGCTGCTGTAGCTGCGGATCCAAAAAAAGGAACACTGGAATCCTGCCTACCAGGTGTCGAAGAAACAAAATCTAGCTCAAACAAGTACACACCTTGACACGGAAGCGAGGTGGTGCTGAATCAGAACATATGGGCCACACTTATTTGTATGTGTGTGTGTGTGTGTGTTGTTGTTGTTTTTTTTTTTTTTTTTTTTTTTTTTGTAAGAGTATTGAGTCTTAAAATTTAATATATAAATAAATGGTATTGAGAAAATATGAATTAAACAACAAAACAAAGAAACTAAATTGAACGTGCTAGAAGTTGAAATATTAGAAGCTGAATCCTATTTCTTAAAACTGTTTGGTTTCGATTTTCTTTCTTTATCCACCAAGATTCACTTACGTGTTAACAAGGGGGGGGGGGGGTTGTATTTTGGGGCTTGCTCTTTGTCACCACACTTATTTGTTTATTTTTATTTTTATTTTTGGTAGGGGGAGAAGTAGGAAGAGATTCCTGCTTGGGTTTATTTGGACTTTCTGTTCACCTAATCGTTTATAAATACATATATTTAATTTTAAAATATCAATTGATACAGAAATATTACATTGTTATATACATGTTATATATATTTGTAACTAAAGAAGTAATGAAATTGCAACATGAAGAAAACAAAATCAGTATATATAAATATATATATATATATATATATATTAATGAAACTGGAAAAGACAACAACAACAATAATAATGATATTAAATAAATGAATAGATAAAACCAATTGTAGTTAGGCCAGATCAACTCTAAATAACTCTGTTGTCATTGCGATGTAGGGTGTTTGTGCATTGTGAAGTAAACATCTAAATTGCATACATCAAACTTGAACATAATCTTAATGCTTCTTTATAATATTTCAGTTATATCAAAATCTGCCTAAATTACGTCTTACTGTTTTAAAACATATAAGTGGGTAAAAAACATTAGTTTGAAGCATTTTGATCTGTTTGCTATTGTGGAATTATTGTTATTATTGTTATTATTATGATTGGTAGAACTCAATATCAATCTCTTTACCAATTCAGTTTATGATGCTTTTTTTCCATAATGTAAGTGCAAGTTGATTATTATTATTTAAATGCATGTGGGTGCATGCCATGTGAGAGATGTAAACCAGTGTTAGAAAAACAAACAAGGATTTAAAACTATAAAGCTGTAAGTATTGTCAATAAAAATGACATGTACATACAATTATAAATTACCAATCTTACTTTCAAGTACTAACTGATTATTTTTAAATACTGTAAATCAAAATATATTTTGGTTTACATAAATGCAAAGGAACCCAAAAAAAAGGAAAATGTTTGAGTTGTTATACTATGTATGTATGTATATATATATATATATATATATATGTATATATGTAACAAGAAGGGCAGATTATTTTTATAGTGAAACAATGTGACATAACATTTAAGATTTGAAACTTGAAATCACTTAGCATATAATTTTTTGCATAAATACTTTATAAAAAAATTACACATTTATAGAATTCTATAAAATGACCTTCATATGATTGGTTTTTCAAAATTATGTAATATTTATACATATAGTTTATATTTATACATACATATGTCAATAACCTTAAACGATGAGAGACTTCACTATGAATATTTTAAACGAAACTTTACAGCAACAGTTAAAATTTGGAATTTAAGATTATTAAAAGTTTATTTGAAAACATTCTATAACCAAGTCATGTTTATTCGAGCAACACAAGCATACCAAAAGCTATCCCAGATAGTTTCTCACAGACAAAGAATATTGCATTGAATTATATTTTGCTATTATAATCTCCTCAACTCTAGCTTTCATTCTAACCCATTAATTTATTCTAAAAGTAAGTACTTGCATCCACAAAAATATCATATGTTTAATGTTTATATCATTGTAATACAACATATTATAAATTTGTAGCTATATTCACTATTCAATTTGTAACCATAAAATCAATTTATATCAACTGACTTCTAACACTGTCAAGGATTAACAGTTTTCTGAAAATCATATTAGCAAAAACCATGTTTTGAATGTCAATCCCAAGAATGTGAGTTTTGAGTTGTGTTTTAATTCAAGTATTCTATTTATGTAGTTTTACATATCATGTATATATATATATATATATATATAACCACACACACACACACAAATCTTATTTTATGACTTATATCTTTTAAAAGTCATGCAAAGAGTTATTTATTTATTTAATTTTATTCTTTAAATTTTGATTATCAGTTCTAATGGCAATATTGAAGAATCATGTTGTATGATTGTTGGCCAAACAAGTGTAGTGAATCCTTCAGTGAATATTGACATATTTTTGGGGAAAGATGATTAAAAGAAACACATGTGTATTGTGCGATTAAATTGTGCAAGCAAACAACAATTGTTTAAGTAAATGAACTGTAATTCTATTTTTTAAATAAAATTCAAACACTACTATTTATTACTACATATATAACGTTTTTTTTTTATCTTTGTTTTTTTAAATATATATATATATATATATATATATTTATTTACAACATATTGTTTCTATTATATTTGATTCTTTTCTGTTAAATTTTAATTGAACCGCAATTCAGTATAGATGCTTTTTTATCTAGTTGCACAATATAAATAAGTAGTACCTGTAAAAAGATTTTGATCAATTCACATTTAGAAATTCTACTAGAGAAAACAGAGATCCCATTTAAGCACCCTAAATAATCGTGAAATAAAAAGACAAGGTTGGAAGCATGATCGTTTGACGACTTAAACAAATCATTGAATAAGCACTAATTTAGAAATATTTTCCTAGATGAAACAGAGATCGGTTTTCGCTAATGAACTACGTTTATTTTTAACAACAAAAGTATAAAAACAAACAAACAAACAAGCAAACAAAACACACTTGGTCCAAAATGAAACAAAGCTTCTCCGACAAAGCGACGGCACTGCGAGTTTAAAGCATCTGGGCCAAATCGGAGCCCTACGCAAAGGAGAATCTCGGCAGTCGACTTTGGCGGCGGTTTAAAGCAGGAACCCAGCATCTCGCCGAACTGTTCTAGTACGCACAGAGCTTACACAAATATATACTATGTAAGTTGAGAGAGCGGTTGAAAGAGAGAGGGCATAACTCCGGCTCTGTGTGTGTGTGTGTGTGTATATACATAGATATATCTATTATATATTATATAAGAAAACATAGGTCTAAGATATTTATATATATATCTATATATAAAAGACAACACAGATATAAGGTATAGAGATTGGCTGTTGAGGGAACTCTGAGAACTTCGGGAACGCGAAGTGGGATTTTGAGAACCGCTTATTTGCCAACGCCTCCGCCTTTCTCCGATGTCCTTCCTGAGGGGTTAATTTCTTCGTGAAAAGCAATCCTGGCTGAGAGTTCCTAGCTCACCGATCGGTGCGTGTTCTCAAAAGATTATTTAAATCACTGCGTGGCTATTGTCTTATATGTCTCTTTACCGCCTTCGTCATATTGCGATGTTTATTGACGATCAGAACCCGAACAGTCTGCGATAAGCTGCTGCATAGTGTGGTATCCGCAGCAGCACCATCTCACCTCCGACCAAACTTGCAGATGTGCGTCCAGAATTTGGAGCTTGGATAACCGAAATTATAATTATAATTTTAAGTAACAGGACGCAATCAGAGTGTGTGGAGGTGGAAACAGTAAAGGGAGCTGTCATTCGAATTTCACATGCTCTGTGTCACACGGCTCTTATTCAGGTGGCGCACAACTGCTTCAATACGTTTCGTACGCATCGGCAGTTGGTATGATCGCGTGTTTTTTGGTGTGAATTTGAAGTGACACAAATGTATTTCCCTTACAGACCAGTACGCCAATGGCGCTTTGCTTGTAAAGTTTTCATATGTCGCGGGTGCTAATGGGCATTCCCACCATGAACAGAAACTAATTTTCAGTCTAAACTTAACCAAGCTGATGTCAAAATGTGTGTAATGAGAAATGAAATCGAAGATACCTGGCTTTTCTGCAGTAGAAGAGCGACATAATTCTGAATCGATAACGATTTTGTTCGTCCCGTCTTAAAGTCGTTATCAGGAATTCTACTCTGGAACGATATCGCGATTTGCCTGGAGCGATTTGAAAGAGCGAGGAAGTAAAACTACGATTTGAAAGAGATCAACAGAAGTCTTGAAATGAATTTATCAAGCAGATAACGAAGTCATTTTGTGTAAACCCGTGCCGTTGTCTGCATAGGATCATGGCCTTTTCAAAGGTTGAAGGGGAGACATTTTGTGAACCGCGTGTGCCGCGCGCCACGTCGTCCTCCGATCACAGCCTCGACAGTGCGATGCAGCAGATGGACTTCATGACCGCGCTGCAAAAGGGGGAGAAGTCGGCCGTCGAACAGGCACTGCGGAGTATGGTCTTCCAGGGAGGATTGCCTGTCAATTTCGTCAACTTCTCACCGGTTAAGTCCGCGGTAATTTTATTTGTCCTCTCTTCCTTTTCTTTTCTTTCAATATATCCGTATTTTTATTTATTCAAATATTTGGTGAATTTTGCGAGGAGTAATGAAGGTGTGATAGGGGGTGTTGGTCGCGCCTTGGTTTCGAGGACGAGAAGCCCACAGTCATTTTAGATTTTACATTTGTGAGATGAGTGCGTCTTCTCTGTCTGCGCATATCAATTGTTGAGGGCTGTTTGTTGCCATGAATCAAGTATGTCCTATCACCACACCATAAATAACGTGCAAGAGTTTATGATCAGAGTGATGAGATTAATGAAACATAGGCTTCTTGTGAGCATCATTGGAAGCCCTTTCTTTCATGATAATTGTATTTCTCTTGCTGCACTGGATGTTGTCACTTTGGGAAGTTCGCACTGATTTTCGTTTTTGTTTGAGGCAGAATTAATGTTTAAGTGACGTCTTTTCTTCCCCTCATTTTCTGCCACCACTGCGAATTTAGACTGGAGTTGCATGAAAACGAAGGGATTGCTGCCCAGGACTGGAAAATCATGTCTTTTGCGGAGGATGAACAAGCTCAAACCCGACCTCAAACGGTAAACCCACCTGTCTGTTACATTGAATCATTTGCCCTTACAATGCCTTCCAATGACGGGGTAATACTCACATCGTAGTTTAGGATGTTGCTTTTCAGATCCTGTAGAGAGAATTTACACACAGGAGAGGAGAGTGCGAATGCATGCATGCACGGCTACTTCCTAACATTTGAAAGGGGAGATGCTCTTTCTGCACTGTTTCAGAAAAGGAGTTGCAGAGGAGCCCTTACTGTGTCAGAAAATGTAGTATTTAGATGTGAATGGCTTTGTTTTTTTTATTTATTTTTATATCAGACTTAATTGCACAGTATTTTACCCTCAAGTGGAGAAAATTATCTTGGATGTGCATATCTGAGGGGTTGGGTTGATGGATGTGATGCAGGCAATATTTAAATGAATTTTCTAAAACTCTTGCTCTATGTTTGAAGCTTGGCTTGATGATGTATAGGTGCTGTAACATTAAACAAAAATAATCTAACAGCTCAAAAATATTAAGTTGGGGTATAAGAAACATAGAAGTGGGTGCAAGTTTTCACCTCCTGGTAGTGCAAGTTTTCACCTGGGAGATGCAAGCCAATTTTGATATGTTCAAGCTGCTGCTACTTTGATTGTTTCTACTTTGTGATAGATGAGTAACTTATACATAATTAGTTCATCGATGGTAGATTAAAACTTAGATGGTGATGGACACCTAATGGTCCTATTGATGTCTAAGTACAACTAAGTATAGAGCTTGGGATGCATTGCTTAACAACTTCTTGCCTTAGAGGACCTTTTATAATTTTAACTCTAGATTTAATTACAAGAAGTTTCTATTTTTGTTCAAGGATTTTACTACTAAGATGTGTTTTTGTTGTGAAAAATTTGTGACATGACTTAATGTGACACATTGTTATATAGCAACACAACTACATGGTGAAATATAAAAATATGGATGTTATTATAGAAAAGCTTAATAGAAAGATATAATAAAAAAACAAAGATAAAAAATACTAAAGTAGTAAAAACTTAACTTAATGTTGTTTTTTTATAGATTTTTTTTTTTTTACTTTGTAGGGCTATAAATAAGCCAAATCAAAGTAAGTAAGATATATAATTGATATGAGCATGTTTAAAAAAAGAATAAGAATGGATTTTAGCAAAAATTACCTAAAAAAATAAGAATTGATACTTGAAGAGTACTGGTTGTGAAGTAAGATCAAAATCAACTCCAAGGCACAAAATTATGCATTGACCCTAATTCTAAGATCTTTGGTAGATCAAGAAGTAAGATTTAAGAGTAGACATTAGAAAGGTCCTTTGAGCATTAGTTTTAAGTGATTTGAGTAAGTAACAACTTTATAAAAGCTTTTTAAAGTTAAGGTTGTTTTTGAATGACTTTAGATTTTGAAAAATTCACAAAATTTATACTTAAAATAATTGTATAAAATATATTCATGATCTGTAAGTAAAAATTTGTGATTAAGTGATTCTCATGGACATAAGCATGTAAGCCAAAAATTACATGAATAAATAAGTAGAAGTAAGTAAAAGCAAGTAAAAGTAAGTTAATTCTATAATATCTTCTATGGAAGCTTCCTAGAAGCTTTATAGATATTGCTTTGATTTTATAGGTATCTTTAATTGACTTTTTGGATTAGAAACATTGTCAACAAGTTGTCCATGTGCCACACATGTTGTTAGCTTGAAGACCAAGCTAACTATGTGGCCCACACGTAGAAAAACTTGTCTTGTAAGTCAATGCATGTGTCTTACAAAGTCAACATATATTGGAGGTCCTATAGAACATTGCCACATAGCCCTTAGTTAGATAGTATATATAGAGACAAGAATGAAGCCCGCTTCACTCTTATTAACTCCTTTCTTACTTCTAGTCTAGTTTCAAGGGTCTTTAATTTTTCTTGTCTTTTGGCAATAGCCATTCTAGTTTCTTTCTTAATATACATATTTAGTCATTTCTATTTTGACATCTTTTTTTGAGAAAAGTCTCACTTATTTATTTATTTTTATCAAGTTCTTGTCCTTGATAGATTGACAAGTATACACTTACAATATCAAAGCTTTGTCTAATTTTGATTAACAGTGGATTACTCCTTTCTCTTGATAAGATATAAGCGTATTAGAAGTTACGGATTACCCTCTTTTAAATTGATATGGTTCTTAGTATTTTCTTTGTTCTCGAGTCCTCTCTTTTATTTATCTTGAGTGATATTAAATATCTTTTTTTTTCTAAGTATTATCATGCCAAAACTTGCTGAAATGAAGAGTGCAATGATATAAATGCATAAGCAATTGAGGGAGTTGATGCTTGCAATGCATCAACTCAATTTACCACCACAAGGAGCAACAAGATTGGCAAGAAGTGAAGATATAGAAATAATTGGAGTTGCTTCAACATCTGCACCAAATCATGTCTCTTTTTCTATAGAGGAACACCCTTCCAGTCTTAGAGAATCAAGAATTGTCCTATCCGAGAAGTTTGATGGCACCAAATCAAAGTTTAGAGGTTTTATCAATCAAATAAAACTTGTGATTGAACTTCAACCCCAAAGCTATCCAATTCCAGAATCGTAAGTTAGATTCATTGGTATGCTTCTTTCAGATTCACCCCTATCATGGTTTTCATCTTTTCTTGAACGACGAGATCCAATATTGAATAATCTAGAGGCTTTTTTGGTGGAGTTTCGATCCATGCATGGAGAACATGATGCAATTCGTGTTGCAACTAACAAGATTCATATTTTGTAACAAAGCAATCAACTAGTAATGTTGTATGCTTCACAATTTTGACAACTTGTAACTGATATCAAGTGGAATGATGCTGCACTTATTAGCCAATTTCTTTATGGATTACAATATGAGATAAAAAAATTAGTGCTCAACTTACTTGATCCTCAAACATTGAGTCAAGCAATTGACTTTGTTGTGAAGTACGACAATCGTCTTTTTGAATTTCAATCTAAAAACCGCATAAGTGGACCTCAACATTACTATAAT